TGAATTACAAACTGGAAATCAGAGAATTCTGGGTAGAGAGCCAACAAAACATTACTTCTACAAACACAGGCTGCTGGCCATGATACATGTAATGATCTGGTCCCACGGTCAGGCAACAAAGCTGTTTTCTGTCAATCATGTATTGCTTTTCTCCTATACTTTACCAGCAAAAATTAGTATCATCCCTTCCAAAAGAGATAAATCAAAGTACCATCTGAAGAAAATTGCCTTGCCATCTCTATAAAAAAGTACTGTAATTCTGATCCTGACAGAACAGCCCTGTAATGGCAACCCTGATGAAATTTCTACTGGGTGCTATGGAACATGGCCAATTGTCTCCCATGACAACTAAAAACTTCTAAAATACATTAATTAAGAGCACAGACAGTTGTCTTCAGGGCTGTGTAAAAAGTCATTATGGGGGAGGGAAGTCCCTTTTTGGTAGTAGACAAGGGCAATGTTTACACTTACCACCTTCCCAGTAAAATTGAATGTGACAGATGAAAAGTGACAGCCTATATATTCACAAGTTTTACTGAAAGAATGTCTTTTGTCAGACAGTATTGTGGTGTTAATAGAAAAAAAAACATTTCCTCACAAACACTAGATTTCTGGTCTGTTAAAGGTTTGTTTCTGTTTCTTAAAGCCTCTATTCAGTCTCTGTGAAAAGTATGTGGGTAAAATGTAGAAACTTTTAAATTCAAAAGCCAACAAAATGAAGAAAATGTTGAGCTATAGTTTATATTTTATATATAAGTTTTGAATATAGATATTATATGCCACACTAGATTAGCAGATTGATATTGGCACACAGATGAAGGGTAAATAGTTGGGAAATTAATAAAAAGGGAAAAGCTGTTTATGCTGGAGAAACTTTAAAACTGTATGTCCAAAGGTTTGTGATAGTTGTGTGTGTACGTGACCTGCTTTGACAAAAAATAATGTAGTATTAGATAAACAGAACTGACTTTGTATTTTAGAGACATAAGATGAAGTTGACACAAGAAATTGAAGTTATTTGAGTCCTACATTATTCGTCAGCACCATGAACATAAACCACTTTGCAAACTAATCCAATATTGTGAAGGAAGTTTAGAGCTGAAATTATCTTAAAATTTAATAACTCACTAGAGAAATCACTTTATACAGGATTATTTCATTATTCTTATCTTACTCTATTTTCACCTTATTCTGTTTCTTTAACCGCTTTATCTTTAACCTATTTCTATCTTAATTCTTTTCTCCTACCATAAAGAGGGGTATGATGAAGTATTCTATTCCCGTATAGAACAGAACTTGCAGAGATACAGGAGAAGCCTCGAGTTTATTTGTTTAACCTCCCTCTTAGCTTTTGAACTTGTAGGTTCAGCTTGTCAAATTTTAAGATCTCTATAACCAGGAAGGCTAGAAACTTCCTTTTAAGAAATTGGGGGCTTTCCTGGTAATAGCAAGCTTTTAAGAGCTGAGGGAAGATTTGACAATGCCGAATTTCCATTTTCTAAGCAACACAGCAAATGACTTGATTTTACTAGTTTTATGAAACAAAACATTGCTACAATAGTAGGACAGAGGAACAACTCAAATACTGTGCTGTAGCATCAAGGCAACACTTAGGAAATACTTGTTCTTATTACATTGCAGATTTATCCTAAGGTTCAAAAGACTTAACCTGAAGTTTTAAAAGGTTCTGAAATTTGCTAATGCTGAATGTTTTCTCTTAATTCCATTGCTTTATGACATGACACCACTTTCCTGGCAGAGATTTTCTAGCCTCTTCCTCCTCAGACTCTATTAACAAAGTAACTTGCTAAACTTTCTGATGTATGCAGTTTCTTCTACCTCAGGAAGGTACCAGTAGATCTCAGATGTAGTATATTAATACTACATTAAATTCCATTAAAAATCCATAAATTTAGTGATCAGCTCTCATGTGCAATGTCTTATGTTAGAGATTACACATTGATAGCAGGAATCAAATCAGATTTTTGTAGTAGTTACTGTAAAAATGAAAGGTCGTTGAAAAAAAAACCAACACAACCACCAACCAAACACAAAAAGACCCCGTAATTCCATTCCTGTTAGGAATTGTAACTCTGCAAAATCCTGCTGTAGAAAATGTGACTTTTTAGTTTGTTGTTGTGACAAATTTGAGGCTTTAATCTAACTCATCGCTTTGGTATCTAGTTACTAATCTGGAATTTTCTACATATAATGTTAAGGTGATTCTAGTTTCTCTGCAAACTGTTTTAGCTACCAAGTGTATTTTAGAGGGGCTTAGTGTGGTCATTTGTTCTTATTCAGAAATTGTCAATCTAAATTTATTATTTGGCTTGGAAACCTCCCCAAATATTCTAGCAGGAACATAGAACTACTTTTATTTAAAGAAGAATCTGAGTTCATAAAACTGCTGTCTGTGCTTGAGAAATTTTCCTTTAGGATCTTTACCTGAGAGTGGTTCTTCTTTTTAGAAGATTTAAAGAATCAACACACAAAACTTAAACTAATCATTCTTGAAGAATAGCATACAGGGCCAACACACAAAACTTAAACTAAACTAATCATTCTTGAAGAATAGCATACAGGGGAAAAAAAAAAGGATATTTATGTAAGCTTTTTTGTTAAGGGCTCATGCCTATGCTCAATTCTGGAAATAGGTAGGGGAATTCTTAAAGGTCTTAGAGGAGTTAACTTTTTGCGACTTTGGATGTTTGTTAACTTTTGGGGTTTGTGACCATTGTATGACTCCGTACTGCAGTTATAGGCCAGGATTATGTCTGGAAAACCAGAGGTCTGTTCTAACTGTGATGGAGAGGGAGAGAGGAAACTATGCTCTTTTGTTTCTGGTTCTTTGGAGAATGCACTGAAATAATGCACTCCTCCATTTCCTATCCCCTGCTTAAATAGGATTGAGTGAGACAAAAGCCACTTGGCAGAGATGAAAGCATGTTTCTGTGGAGACCAAAGGTGACTTATAGCTGCTGGTCATCCTCATACATCACTCAAGAGTTAAGCACAGTGACTTAGGTGAAGCAAGGAAAAAAATAATCTGCTGTGATAGAGACAGTGCCTGTTGCTAACTAAAGCGTATTATAAAAAACCTCTAAAATGAACGCATTGAAATAGGTTAGCAAGCAGTAGCTTTTAGTAGAGAAGTTTATGATACTACTCCATATGCTCAAAACAAGGCACATGGTGTCACACATGGTAGGCGCTGTGCTATCACTCTGTCCAGTCTCCTACGAGGATGTTGTTTCCTGGGTTTGTTACAGGGATCTTAGGAATAGATCATTTTGTAGCAATAATGGAAAGCGGTTCTACTCAGCAGGTGGTTCAGAATGCCTGAGATACACAGCCAATATTACTGGGGGTATTCATATCTTCTCCAATTTGTAGCAGTACTTTTGTATGAGTGGCAGAGTATGCAAATAACCTACCTGTAAGTTCACAGTTATGACTGAGTAGAGAAGTATGAGGAAACTGAAACAGTTTCAGACAAAAGCCAGAGTAAATTTGGCCATGTGTCTCTCTGCTGTGCCTATAGGCCATCTCCAGAAAGATGAATGGATTTCCTTTCAATTTTCCTTACAATTCCTGTTTTCTATGCAAACACTTAACTCTGGGAATAAGCTACCTGGTACACAAAATAGTGACACGTACTTACAAGACTCATTTAGGCATTCTTTGTAAACTTCAGCTAACATCATAAAGTCTGAAAGACTGTGTCCTAGAATGAAGGGAAAATAGGTGTTACAGTATTATATGCTGTACTACCTGGGCCTTTGCATTTCCCAGTCGGTAATTTGGGACAAAAATAAGGGTGCATTTTCTATCAGATGTTATCCTACCAGATAATTAAATCATCTGGAAAAAAGTAGTTCTGTAGGGTTGTTTGGCTTGTTTTGCTCAAAGTTTGCATGTAAGGAGGAGACAGTGCCTATATTGATGATAATAGCAGGTGGGAGGAAGAGGCACAAGGGGGACTGACTTTAACCCCTGTTCCTCTGGCAATTTTGTATACAATAAAAATTAGGGCAGAAGGGTTAATCTGCTATTCTCATGTTCCGATTCAGAGATCTTCCTTTTTTCGATCACAATTACAATCTCTGTAAAAAAAGACATAAAATTTAAAAGGGTTTAAATAAAATTATCTGCTATTATATGAGAATCATGATGCAAAGAATAAATTCGTGCATCTTCTCAAGAGACAGAACCCTCCTCTCCCTCAAGTGCTCCCCTGTGTTAACAAGGGACATCCTGGACCTCCTGAAGCTAGTGGCAATGCTTCATTAGGTCTATTATTGTATCCAAGACTGAGACCAGGCATGGTTAGAAAATGGTTACAGAAAAATTCCAGGAAGGCATCCTTTTCTAGGTAGGCACTGAATGATTGCTTAGAACAAGCCTCGATCCAAACAGTATCACATGGCTAGATGGATGCATTGCAATGACAAAATGAATATGGCATTAAGAACAAAGTATGTCTTCTAAAGGTTGAATGCAAAGAAAGCCAACAAAACAACCCACCAAAAAATTGCTATGCTAACCTTCCATACTGAAATCATTGGCAGGAAAAAAGGAAATAAGATATATTTTAACCTTTTTTTGCTATATAAAAGCTGTTCTATACGTAGTAATTTGCTGGTTCTATCTTGATATTTAACTCAGTAAAATGGAATAGTTCTGTTGGAAGGGACCTATAATGATGATGTAAAAGCAGACCTAAGTGTATCATTTCACTTTGGTCATAAAAAGTTTCACATCAAAGACTCTTACAATTATTGTTGACAGCATATCAACTCCTAAATGCAATATTGATTATACAGGTTTTGTAGGTGGTTTCATTGGCTGTATCTTCTCCAGGGACAGGATGCAAATTAGTAAGTACAGTTATCCCTTCCTGCCAGAAGGACCATGATTGGATACTGCCAAAACAGGGTAAAAAAAAATAAGTAACCAATTCTAATGCTTTCTACTCCAGTCTTTTTAAAAAGGACACAGAACAGATGTTAAATCATTAAGTTGCCTTTCACAGCTGATGTCTGTAGGTATAAAAAGAGTAGAAATGCTGCTTTTTATAAATATATAGGAAGATAAGATTTACAGAGCCAACCAAAAGAAACTACATACTGAAACAATTTCAGTGGGCCAGGCATATGCTTAGAATAATGAAAGCAAGACATCTAAATGTCTCTTGGATGTTCTGAGGTGTTCAAACATCTCAGTGAAAAGTGAGAAAGGTCCAAGTGCACTTTACATTTCTCCTGTGAGTTTTATTCACTTTCACTTTATGTGAAAATAAGGAGCAAACTGCACGTGGTTAAGGTCCATCTTTAGAACTGACAGAGCCATGGAAGCAGCTCCTTCTGTGGCTACGTTATGAAGACTGCAGTGCTCCTTGAAGTTTCAAGGGCCCCAAAATGGAAAAAAATTGAAGTCTAACAAAGTAGAATACTCTCCAGATGGAAGAACCATGTGTGCAGAGACACTTAAATCTGTGGTCTCCTGATGTTAGACCCAAAGCATCCTTCACTAAGGGTAAGGTAATCCCCAGATTAGTGTTGACAGGAACATGGTGAAGAAGCACCCTTGTTTCATTCAAATGTGCTGGTGTGTGCAACTGGTTTATAGGAATAAAAAAAAGAGTAAGCTATGCAATGGTTACAGGCATTTCTGAAATGCACAGTTCCTCAGTGTTCAGGAATTGTTAAGAACAAATCCTTATTGCTTTCTCTTCACCAATAACAATTTTGTAGTCCAATGCAGTATGTAGCAAGATGGTAGGAAAAAAATTAAGGCCAGCTTGTTTGGTAAAGTTGTATGAAAATGAGAGGAGTTGCAGTGGGAGATGCTAGATACCTTCAGTAAAAAGGTTGTTTATACCTATTTTTACACAAACTTTATGACTGACCAAGTTATCATCGAATATTTAGAATCCATGAAACAACTCGTTATAATCTGAATTCTTTTTTTTGACAGTGCATCTAATTTAAAGATGAATTACACTTGCACTAGAGGAGAGGAAAAGGTGCCTGATGATGAACTGGAGTGCAAAATCTGTTATCAGAGATTTACTGTTCATAGTCGTAAGCCCAAAATCTTGGATTGTCTTCACAGAATCTGTGCTAGATGTTTGACTAAAATACTTCATCTAGGAGACAGATCTCTCTGTGTTAGCTGTCCCTTTTGCCGCCATGAGACAGAGTTGCATGAAGATGAAGTCGAAGGACTCCCCAATGATACAAATATTATGTCCAAGCTTGTATTAAAAGACAAAACAACATGGAATTCTGACTGTAAAGAAGTAGTTTTAACACCAAAAACCTTGGCTGCTTCAAGTTCTTCCCATGGATCATCAAACTGCTTAGTAATTACAATTATGGAAGTACAAAGAGACTCCCCACGGACTTCCAGTCAAAGTACTGCCTCAGATTATTATGCTGACCATGGCACTGAGTCAGTATCTCTAAGTTCTCAGAGTCAGCTGGACCAAGATCTCTTTTCAAAGCTATGCAAGCATGTACCCAGAATACTGGTATGGCTGCTTGGATTTCTTTACTTTGGTTCCCTCCCTCTTGGGATCTACTTACTAGTAATTCAGAAAGTGACCCTAGGTGTTGTGTGTGTGAGTTTTGTTCCCTCCAGTCTAACTGTATGTCTCGTGTATGGCTTCTGCCAGTGCCTCTGCCATGGAATTTGTGACTGCTCTTCACGAAGCTGATACGCAGTGTTTTATCAATTAGTAAATTTTTAACTGAAACATAAACCAACACAACTTTAATCAGACTTTAACGGACTGTTAAAAATGCGTATAGTATGACATATATGTATTTTTGTTAAAGCACAATAACTTCTGTGAATACTGGCAAAATGACAACATGGTATTGTTGTGGGTTTTCTTTTACTAAAAAAATGGAGGTTACTGTCACCTGTTCTGTACGTAACAAATGGCTTTAGACCAACATCACATTAACTGTGAATAGAACAGATATTTGAAGGTTATTTATTAGATAAAAAAAAAACCCCAAACAACCCACACCCTGTTTTTATCAAATACGTTGTCACTGTTTTTAAAAACAGATGAAGATCAGAAATGCTGGGTATGACCTGTTTAAAAAGCCAAGTGTCCCATTACAAGCTAGTTCACATTTGAGTCAAATATTTTCTGACATCAAAGGGAAATAAAAGTTGCATTAAATATTCTGCTCTACAATCAGATTTTTCAGAAAAATTTTGAGTCATGAGAATTATAACAAAGCAGCTTGTAGCTGAATCTTAAAGGCCCAGTTAAAGAAGTTTTTAAGTAAGCTTTAATATTTGTCATGATTTGGTATGCCTGAAAAATTATCTGACATAAACCAAAGTATATAAAAGTAGAAATGAACCTAATTTATTTTGAAAATTAAAATACCAAAGTAAGTTTTGTTTCCTTAACATTGTTCCTGCACAAAAATGATTTATTTTTCTGAATATTTTTATTCAACCTATTTAATACTGCTCTACTGTTATTTTCTGAATTTCGTATGGTTGTACTGAGAACCTACAAAGTATTTTACATAGTGAATGACTTTATAATAAAGTTTGTTTACAGTAATTGCTAAAGTTCCAAACTAACAATGGGTATTTGTAAAGAGAATCACTTTTAATTTGCTACCTAACTTAAGAATACACAGTTTAAAATATGTAATAAAGCTGTGTATATAAATAGCTACATGGGTTTGAGTTTTATTTTAGCTTTAAAGACTTTCATAGTGATTCTGTCTTTAATAACAGATCTGCCAGATCTTGATTTATTTTGAGGCTTCTCAATGAAAACCAAAAAACACGGGATTTTTGTTCGTTTACTTTCTCCAAAAGTTTTGAATTCACTAAAAGGAAGAACCCGAGACCAGAAGACCAGAACCACCTTTATGTGCAAAGCACAAATGACTTGACTTCAGAGGGAAGCAATCTAAAAGGAATGGAATTGTCAGCTTTTTGAACAACCACTATCCATAGGGTACATGCCATATGTTTCCAGTGAAGAGTGGCTGTCCCGCCTAGGCTTCCTTCTTTCCTCCCCTCAGTGGGATGAAAGAAGCCCCAGAGAATCTTTTGACACGTGCACTGTGCATCTGACTTGTAATGTGGTTTTGGATGAGCTCGTGCCTGCTGGGACATGAAGCAACAAATTCACCAAAAGGTAAATGTAAGATACCTGGTTATGTCTAAAAAGTAGACAACACAGACTCACATTGTAGGCACCTGTCAGTAACTCAAACCTGTAGGCTAGAAGCTTTTCTCTCATCATAACCCGAGGACTGTATGCTCTAATTCATAGGATATAATTTGTATTTCTTATCTGGTAGCTTGCTGAAATAGCTGAAGATGGCTAAAAGCCAAGGCAAAACACCCTTTTCTAAGATAAGACATAGCGTAACATTCACATTACCAATAGTTTTATTGCCCCTTCAGAAAAATGAACAGATTTTAAATACTATTATCACAGATTACACGTAAATACCTCAGAAGAGATTTATCCTGTACTCCACATACAGGCCAGTTACTCTATTTGTGATTTCATGAAGCAGCTGACAGTAGTACTCCTCCAGCTGAAATAATCAGACTGATGAGACCTCCAGCCTATCTCGTTCAACTAAGCAGGAAGTACGTAATCTTAAAGTAAGATGCTGTTCAAATTTCATGGCTGTCAGAATTGCGCATGAACTGAGGAGGCAAACATATCTTCCATGTGAAAAATCCTTTTGCCTTTCCATATTCACCTGAATTTTTATCAGCAGCACCTAAAAAAGCAGTGTGCACAACATGGCCTGTCCTGCTTGAGGAACTCCATTACACATTGGGATTAAAAAGTCTTGTGACTAAAAAGAACCAAACTAAAAACTTGACAATGTATTTAGACTTAGGAAAATATTTTTTTTTTAAATACGTAAAACATAGGAATCCCCATAACTTCCCATAAATCACTGAAGAGAACAAATTAATAAAGCTTCTGTTTAGAAAAGTGGATTACCTGACTGGAGGTATTTAAGAAATAAAGGTATTTTCAGTAAAGAAATAAATTATAGTAGCTTTTAGCAAAGTTCAATTAATACAATAACCATGAAGTACATGGTATTTTAAGGTGTTTTGTGACTGTTCAAGCCCTCTACTTTACTGACAAAAATTAAGAACAAAAGTTTTGCAAGCAGATTAGTTTTACTTTTGCTAAATAGAAACAGCACTGTTGAAGAACTTTATTTACAGGCTGTTTTTTCTAACTTCTATTAACAGTTGATGGGTTAAGAAGGATTTTTTTATTTTTATTTGGTTTTGCACTTATTCACAGCATGTACTGTGTGTAAATATTCGTAATTTTATGCAAGTCTCTTCTCTACCCCCTATAGTAGTCACAGATCTATTAAATTGCAGAAAATCTGTATTCAAGAAGAACAGAAGCCCCTGTCTTGGCAGGGGAGACGTTTTCTAAATTTAGACAGACATGAATGAAGGTGAAAAATGGCTAAAAACTTTTTATAGCTGTATTAGTAGAATTAGAGAATTCTTTTATGGTAGCGTTTCACACATTTAGGTATTTTATGAAGGGTTCCTTACCAATTCTAGCTATTTTTCAGCTTAGTCTTATCTCTTTACATGTATGATTTGGTTTATTTTCTTTGTAGCTAATTCCTGGGCTGTGTTGATCCTTATAAGGAAAGCTCAGAAGGAGCTGGTCTCTGTTAACATAGTGTTGCACGTTTGTGTCATCTGATGCAGGAATAGCAGCGTAGGTCTCAATTGGAAAAGTGCAATGTATGGAGTCTCTGCTTTTGAGTAAACTGCACAAATTTGACTTGGTACAAAACTAGAGACATGGTTTAGTAGTGGACAGGTACAGTTGGACTCTATGATCTTAAAGGTCTTTTCCAACCAAATGATTCTATGAAAAGAGCTTTTGAAAGTAATATATGTAACTTTCTATATATGGAAACAAATACGCCAGATACCCTTCTCCTTGCTTTTTTGAGTTTACAGTAAAAGCAATTACTGTAGCACCAAGGATGTTAAAACATAAGTTTCAAATGTCTTTCATGCTATATGCTGTTATACTGCAATTACATGCTATGTTTTGTATTTGTTTAGATAGTTGTGAAGATAACCTATAGTGTATTCTCTAATTAGGCTAGATGTTTGAATCTCCTCTCTGTTTCTAAACCTCCTACCCTATGGCCATATGCAAGTACTTGATGGTAATTGTACACTCAAGAAAAGTTTTTCATCCAGCTGTAACGGACTTCAAGGTGAAGCATTAGTCCAGCCTCAGAAAAGTAGGAGAAAGAATATTTGGGCTACACTACAGAGCAAAAATGAAATACAAATAAAGTATAATTTGTAATTATTTTTACAACTAGTGATAATTCTGCAGGTAATGATGTAAATGCAATAACCTGGCACACATGCAATGTACAAATACAATGGAAAAAGAAATTTGTGAAAACTATAACGATAATCTCTTTGGCTTTTTAAAAATTCTTTATAAAATAATCCAGAAGTCTTTCATAAAAACGCTGACACAGATTAACTACTGACTTATTAAAAAACCAAAATGTTTTATATAATATTTAGCTTAGAAATGCTGCTTACCTTAACTTTTTCTTCCAATCTTCCTAAGCGTAGACTGCCTTCTACTATTTTGTTCAGAACACCGTGATTCTCATTTTCCAAACATTTGGTCTACAAACATACAGTATAGGTAATTCAATGTAACCGTCACTTTAGACAGGGCAGGCAAAATACATATGCTGAGGAAGACCAAGCTATTCTGTTTTGAGCTCCAATAGTCTGAAGGAACAAGATGAAAAAAGAGCCCTGAAAATTATTGTAATAATTGTTAATTAATAATTTGTCAACTGACTGCAAATACTATCTCACTAACAAAATAATACCTTGAAACAGTTTCATCTGGAAAGGATCATAGCTACTGATACTGTAAACCCAACCGATTCTGCATATTTTTCTACAGGAATATGTATGTATATGTAGGGATCCCATTTGTATGCATGAGACTCATCCTTCTGGGTCAAATTTAGTAGTCCGCTCTCGAAAGAGCTCTTGAAGTTGGCAGGGGTTCAGTCAAGGAATCTGACACGTGGCTTATGAAATGTTTCTGTCTTATGACTGTTTCCATCATTTCATGAGCACTACATTCTCTCTCAGATATGAAAAGTAAACAAAACAAAAACTGTATAAGCTGTAAAGAATGAAATAATTTTAAAAATGTAAGAGGTTAACTGTTAAATCCACTGAAAGCATTCAAGAGAGAAATAACCAGGTTGTAGGAGCAGCAATGTCTGACCACCTTGAACTACCCATATCACTCCAGAGACACGTCTCCTTTCACAGAAGTCAAAATTAACTAGCATCACTGGAGTGTGTGAGCTTCGTGCTGTCAGTGACATTCTGATTTACTGTGAAATCGTGCAATAGAACAAAAGAATCATTTTTGACAGCTGCTAACTCAGGATTACAGTTCATCATCAGTGTTGCACTACCAAAATTGTTTTAAATAAATGTGTTGCTGCTCTGTTTTACTGGGTTTATCAGTAGACTGTCACTGTCCCTGGAAACAGTAAACGTAAGACTAACTATTTTTGTGGAGATGTAGCTACTATGGATTTTTTTTTAACCCTCATTAAGGAAGAATATAGGCTAATTTCTTAAGGAATAGTGCTGTACCCTTTCTGCTCTCCCTGACCTTCTGGATTAAATCTGCATAAAATGTATTTTAATGCTTTAATTCAATTAGTGAATTAAAACAGAATAAGGCTAGGGTAGTACCAGTTGCTGAACTAAGTAAATAGTTACATTTACTGAATTTTGAGGTGGAGGGAATGGTAATACATTTTTAATTGTAAGTCATGCTCAGTAGTGGCTCTTCATAATCATTACCGTCTGGCTCTAATTTTTTTTTTTGTTTTCGAGGCCTTCCCACTACACAAGTGCATCAGATTGCCTGACTACAAGATACCTGCAGTCTAACTTTTTACCAAGGTAGGTTTTAGGTTCAGTGATTAAAAGCAGCAACAGGTTGTTCTGATTCAGCTCTACCAGGCAACAAAGTAAACTGGATATTTAAAGTTTTACTGGTACCAGACTATTTCAGTAGAAGTTTGTCTCAGAGTATCTCTGTTGTCAGCCCAGACACAGTGAATTCAGAAAAAAAAAAAAAAAGCAAGACTTGTGCGCTGTTTAATACCTAAGCCACAAAATGGAGAAATAACGGCTGGCAAGTAAGTGTGCATCACCTTCATACACATACACAAGAGAATGTGACCCAAAAAGAAGAGAAATTCTGGTTTGCATGACAGGACTGGCTTCTAATTGCTGGATCGGTTTCTACCTGTCTAAAAAAGACAGGCCATCATTGACTGCATTTTGGGCTGCTTTCCACAGACCTAATCCAAGCTTTTTTCCCCACACACACGAACCTTGATTTTCTAGTGTACTTTCAGGTGCAGGTTTCAGAAAGGAAGAATATGATGTCAAATACTGCACACCTGCAAGGATAAGGTTTACTTTGTGGTGATTAAGGTTATGTCAAGATATCTTTCCTTCTGAAACCAGCCTTTACCTCCAAAAGTATTCTGAACATCTACTAGGGTATTAAGTCAAATGGCACACCTTGTACTTACAGGTAATTCTGGATCTCTGTGGTATTTCTAATGTGGTATGCTGA